ACAACCTTCGATTTTCTTCTGTGATATAACATGTGATGTGTTGATCGAACATCTGCATTACGCATTCAATTTTTCAGGTATGTCGGCATTTGGAAATAACAACCAAACGTTTGGGTAAATTTATTACTTTTTCAAACGAAGTTCTGCATAGCGGGACAAGGTCTAACCCCCCTCTTCATTTATAGGTTCCACTTGAGGTGGCTGACTATCTCCAACGTCAGGCATACTAAGATCACTGTCACTCCGTGATGTAGATGTATTAAGTTTTGAGATCATATTTGCTAACTCAGATGACGATGAGTACGTCGCATTATTTAAATTTCTGCCCGCATTATCTCGATTGGTAGTTTCATCTCTTCTGCTGGGAGTTCTTCGGATTGGAGATGCGGATCGATCTCTTTGACCAGTGAGAGATTCACGGCGACTCCTATTTAGCATTGATGAAACTTCTTCAATAGATGGTGCTGGTGTTATATTTCCCATATTTCTATTTCGTCTACGGTTTGAGGTATTGATAGTACGGATTCTATCGAATTCCTCTCCCAGAAATGCATATGAAACTTGAATCTGTCCAACATATCTTGATCCAAATCACTCATCAATGGATGCATAAACTTGATTTTCAGTATAAATATCTTCAAAAAGATGTCTATACAGATGGACATGAATGGTCCAATATCATTGCCTATCATCAAATTTTTCTTTAAGAGGTTGTCAAACTCAATTGACTTATATCCAAATGGCTTGATGAAGATTATAAGATAAAAACTTTCCCACATTTGAATGATAATAAGAAAGAGTACATATAGATAACTCATAATGAATTAACCTTTTATACTTATGATAGATCATATGCTGTGTAAGATCCTGAAGGAAAACAGCTATTGTGAAAAAAAAAATTGGATCTTGGTGTGCATGTGAATAATTTTTTAACAGAGATAATAGGATTGCTTAAAGATAAATAGGAAGAGACATGTATAATGATAATACTTGGTGCCAACTGAGATAGATTTTGAAACTTCAGAAAACTTCTTAAATAAGTCATATAGGTAATAAATATCTTTGAACAGATATATTCAAGAAATGTGGATATATTTGTCTTTGATAATACTACTTCTCATATAGTTTTTACTGAAGATACTCTTGTAGCTTCAAAAATAAATCTTAATTCAGAAGAATTAGTTTTAAAAATATGAGATACAATATGGAATGGCAGTTATTAATTAATAGTTATTGAAAAAAATTACTTTATTTATAATAAAAAGACAAAATCCAATATCAACTTGCATGGTTAGCCTAAAAAAATTCAGTGAGTTCTTAGTAAAAGAGAATTATGACAAGAGAAAATAGCACTAGAATACACTTTGTGCAAGAAAAAAGAGGCAGATCCTAATATTATTGATTGTTATGCATGTTATTTAATAACTAATCAGCCAGATATTCTTGCATAGTATAATCAGATTCAACAAGAAATCAAATCTCATGAACATAAGATAATTTTATTATCTTAATTATTCTTTCTTAACTAGTCTGATCTTAATAATATTATCTATTTTTAGGTTATATTTTATCTTAAATTTCATCCTGAATTTAACTATATTAAGATATACTAGAGGGTAGTCAAGAATATACTTGATCTTATTATGAGTACTCATTATTAAAAATCAGAAAAATAGTATTTGATTTTATTCCTGTAAAGAGAATTCATTCTTTTGCTAGACTGTTATTTAGATAGATAAATACTTATCATCATAGTTTGACTAGAAAAGCAGTGAAATATGTGATCAAAAAGCATAAGAAATATAGATCAATTAACAAAAAGATTATGAATCAGATTAATAAGTTATTAAATTAATAAAAAGAAATAAGTATAATAAAAAGTAAAGAATATATTTTGCTATATCTAATTAATAAATATTAAGAATATATATTATGATGATAGATATTTTTATTTTTTAATATGATTATTTTTATTTTACTACAAGAATATTCTTTACTTACTTTGTCTATATATAGACTAGCAGATATTAATTAAATAGTGTGATAATTTAACTTCTATTAGTCTTATTATAGAGATTAATATTAATTTATCATTAATTATATGATTGATTATATCATTATATAATGCTAGAATTAGGATTAAAATTTGATATTTCATATAATAAATTAGATATCTTATACTATCCTATATTGTATTAAATAATAATTTCTAATAAAATATATTTGTTTTATTTAAATATTTCAAAATATTTTTTAGAATTTATCTGAATATATATTTAATAAAAAATAGAAATAATAACTATTAAGATAAATTTATAATTATATATAATTTTTTGATATTAAGAATTTATAATTATAAAAATAATTTAGAAAATATATTATAGTTTATAACTAATGATTATTATAATATAATAAAAATAATAATTTTTATAATAAATAATTTATTTATTAAATATAAGAATAATAAAGTTTTATGTAAGAGATTATGTGAAATATTTTATAATTATATAAAAATATATATGAAAACTCATCAAGAATTATTTACTAATAATAATTTAACTGAATTAAAGATAAGTTAAGTCTTTATTATATTATTTTAATTATAATAATAAGATATAATGATAATTATATAGATTATTATTTTATAAATAAGCATTAATTATTAATTTCTATCAAGAATTTATAAGTATATTTACAGATTATTCTTCTAGTCAATATAAAATATCTAAGAATTATATATTTCAATTTTCATAATTTAATATTATAAAGTAATAAATAGAATATTTATTAAGATATTTGAGATTCTTCATAAGAAAAATATTAAAAATTCATATCAGATATCTAATAAAAATAATTATATAACACAAATAATAAAAATAATAAATTCTAATATCTATTGATATTTATTAATATATACTAATAGTTATTATTATTAATATTTTATTATAGATATGATACAAAATCTTAGATATATAAAAAGTATTAATATTATTTATTAAAAAATATTTTGATTTTTAAAACTTTCTATAAGAATTATAGATAATTAAAATAGATAAAATAATTTTAAAAATATCAATATTTATTAACTATATCAAGAAAACTTTAGTAATTTTTAAATAGAACTTGAAAAGTTTTTTAGCTTAAATAATAAGTCATATAATTAAGCATTTGCATATTTAAAATATATTCAAATATTTATATAAAATTAATTAATATTATTCAAGTAACTTATATTTCATAACTTGAAATGATTTAGTAATATAATAATCTCTATTAATAAAAAAGAAATTTTTTGATATGAAAAGATATAATATATAATATAATATAATATAATATTATAATATTATTTATTTACAATATTAATATTATAAAAGCTTCTATTATTAATAAATAATAATCTTAAATTATTATTATTTGAATTTTTTTACATAAAAAATTATGAGTTATTAAAACTTATTTTATTATAATAATATAATATATTAAAAGAAGATAAAGATAAAAATATAGAACTTTATGAATACCTAAGATTATAATTAACTAAATAATATATATATATTTATTTAAATTCAATTGATATAATAGTATATATTATACTAAAATATAGAAAAAATAATAAATATTTATTAAATAAATATATTTTTTAATATTAAATAAAAAGTATTTTAGAAGTT